TGAGAGAAATCAGAAGATGTTACTGTAGTTCTAAAATAAATATGAATATGCATTAATTCATCTCACTCAAAAAAAATAAAAACACAGATTCAGTATTCCTCAAAATGAATAAAAATAATGCAACTCAGAATATGACGCAAACCTGCAATAATTAAATGTTAAACACAAATATCCTTTATGTATTTAATCCCATTCTATTAGCTTCTGACCTTCGATGATCCAGTTCAACCGTACTAATAAGCACAAATTACTCTATGAATGAATGAATTAATTGTTGAAATGTCTTCTTCTGCGTTCTACTGTACAGACGTACATTTACTTTCCCTTCAGCCTGAGGCTTATTCATTTCACTTCTGGTGTGAAAACGCTTTTATATTTGCCAAAAATTGAACTTTTTTATTTTAAAAACAAACAAGCAAGCCCTGTCCAGATTTAAAAAGTAACGCAAAAGTAACGTAACGCATTACTTTCCATAAAAAGTAACGAATTACCATAATTAGTTACTTTTTTTATGGAGTAACGCAACATTGTAACACGTTACTTTTAAAAGTAACTTTCCCCAACACTGTTAATAACTCCGCTTCACGTCGTGCGTAACAACACCCCCTAGCTGTTATAAATTCACTGTAAACCACAGCTTCACGGGGGGTTATTGCTTTAGTTAGTGACGTAATCCATTACATTACACATTTTAATCAGACTACTTTTAGATTACTTTTGACCCAACTCATTTATCATATTGATTTAAATCGGATAATCCCGCACCATACTGATATAAAAATGCAAAGAAAAAGAAAATATATTAGATTTCTTGTTATTGATATAATGAAGTGCACTAAACAGTAGGCTACATTATGTCAAGGTTTCCCAAACTGGGGTTCGTGAACTGCAGGGGGTTCACGAGTTTAATGAAAAACTAATAATTAAAAATGTAAAATAAATAATTTTAAAATAACAATCAAAATAAAACACTTACTAAAAAAAATGTAATAATTTGTTTACCTGCATGTCATCTGACCATTAACAACATCAGAGAACCGTGAACATGCAAATGTGTTACTGAATAATTAACTTATTACCTTAAAATCTCAATTCAAGTAAATATATTTGGTTAAAGAGATTCGGCCAAAAATTTTTTGGGAATGCCTGCATTGCATGTAAATAACAAATAATGTGAATGAGCATTTTAATGTGTTTGATCGAAAAAAGCCTTCAAAAGACACAGTAATACATGGTTAAATAACCTACTGAGTGATAATTCAAATAAACATGAATGTATTCATCATTACAGAAACACTGAGAAAACATTTCTTAAAATTGAAAAATGATTTCTGTAAATGCTGTGTGGTCAGATGACTGTATCGACTGATCTCTGTGTGAAACTGAAGACTTTCTGAGTGTATATAAGCGGTAGGATATTTTAGAAAGGAACATTTAAAAGATGAAAAAGAGGAATTAGGGAGAATCAATAAATGATGCATGATATAATGCTATTGTGTGAATAATATGTAATCAATATAAAAGTAACTGTAGTCGGATTACGAGTATTTTAAAATGTAATTTAATCGAATTACAAGTGCTTACTTTTAAGAATCTGATTACGTAAACCAGATCACATGTCATCAGTTACTACCAGCTCTGTTTGGCACTTCACTCGTGTTTATACAGCTTATATATAGTTATAGTTATAAAGTTGAGGCTTGTTTCTCTCTCACCATGGAGTGTGGAGGAGACTGAACGCTGTGTCCGTAACCCTGCTGAGGATGATGGGAGTGATGCTGGAACACACCTGTGATGAACAACACAAACACAGAGTCAAACACTGCAGACTTCACCTGCTTCATCACACCTGCGGACGGAAACCCTGATCATCGTTAGTGAGAGTGAAGGAGTGAATCTGATCGCTGAAGTCGGAGTCACACACACACGCGTGTGTTATTTCAGCGGCATGCGTCCGTGATCTTGCCTGAAGTGGATCGGTCCTGCAGTGCAGAAGCGCTGCTGCAGACAGACACGCTGCGATCGGCCCAGAGCTCTGAGCCCGGAGAACTGCACACCGACTGCTGGGGGCCACGCTCTAACACACACACACACACACACACACACACACACACACGCGTTACACACACACAGATACCCCGCGGCTGATGGTCAGTGTACAGTCGTGTGTCTGCGGTACCCATCATCCTGCGCAGGCTTTTAGACTGAATATTGTCCTCCACTGGATCAAAGTCAAAGATGGATCCCGGATCAGTCCTCCAGACCTTCAGCTCTTCAGCACAACACACAGGTCAAAGGTCAAGGTGATTTGATCAATCAGCAGCTTCAGGATTATATGTGTCATGTGCACTAGTGTTTAACACTTTTATTCATCAAGGACGCATTCAATTGATCAAAAGTGACAGTAAAGACATTTATAATGTTACAAAAGATTTCTATTTCAAATAAATGCTGTTCTTTTGAACTTTCTGTTCATCTGTGAATCCTGAAAAATAAAATGCATCACAGTTTCCACAAAAATATTCTGTTTTCAACATTGATAATAATCAGAAATGTTTCTTGAGCAGCAAATCAGCATATTAGAATGATTTCTGAAGATCATGTGACACTGAAGACTGGAGTAATGATGCTGAAAATACAGCTGCGCATCACAGAAATACATTACAGTTTAACAGATATTCACACAGAAAACAGCTGTTTGAAATCGGAATAATATTTCACAATTTTACTGTATTTTTTATCAAATAAATGCAGGCTTGGTGAGCAGTGTTTCTTTCAAAAACACTGCAAAATCTTACCAAACCCAAACCTCTGACTGATAAGCGTATGAAACTGTCACAACAACCAATGAAGAGCAAAACCTCAGCTACAAAACATGTTCAGAGATGAAAACTGATCAAATGACGATTATTTACATGACACAACCTTCACGTCAACCTGCAACAACCAATGCATTCAACAAATCGTAACTGATAATGAAATGTGTCTGTGAATGGAGAAGCACCACCACGATGAACATCAAACATTCTTCTGCTGCACACAATGTCTAAAACTAAACATGAGTATCAACATTAAAAATAAACATGAGTATTTGTGATGGACTGACCAGCGGCTCCTGCTGATCTGCGGTCCATCTCAACCACCTGCGGCTGGACGCCATGGTAACTGTCGCCAGCGCCCATCAGATGGTCTCCATGGAGACGTGCCATGTGCTGCTCATCGAGGGTGTGTGTGGCACCTCGACCCCGCGAGCGCTCGAACTCCTCGTGATACTTCGCCTGAGAGAGCGAGAGAGAGAACGTCACACACACACACACACACACACACACACACACACACACACACACACACACAACAACACACACTCATGCAAACACACACACACACACACAACAACACACACACTCATGCAAACACACTGCAGGTGTGTGTTACGGTGCGGTTTGGTCTCTGATGAACTCATGAGTCTTTTCTAGCACACGCGTGTTATCGTTCGTCACCCGTGTGGCGTGTCAGTCACGTGTTAATGCTGTGATGTCACACGCAGGCATTGCCACAGTCCTGCTACCATGGAAACAGTATCCTGAGATTTCCGCACACGCCTCATTTCAGGCGTATCCAACTCTGAGCAGGAGCGACCTTTGACCTCCTGCAAACTGCGCTGGTACTGCACCTGAAACACACACACACACGCTTTTTTTAAAAGTGACGTATCATGAAAATCTGACTTTTCCAGGTTTTAAGTGCTATAATCAGGTCTCCGGTGCATCTACCAACCAAGGAAACGTGAAAAAGATTAACCCAGTAACTTTGTTTTGGGAAGCCTTTTTCTGCAAGCGTCTGAGAAAACCAGCGCGTCTGATTTCGCTCTCTTGGTGACGTGGCAAAGGGATCTCATTATAATATTACCGCCTCTTAATCTGTAAGTTTCCACCCACGGCGCCGTCATTTTGATTTCGCAAGCGACAGCGGTGTAGCAGCTCTAATGCCATGGAGAAAGTTTGAGCGAAGCATGCTAACTGTTCTGTGTTTGGCTGCACAGACGAGCACAGAACACTGTTTAGAGTCCCAGCCTCAGAGACAACAGAGCAGTGCATTTACTGATTTATGTACTGTATATTGCTGCTGCCACACAGATCTAAAATAAACATGAGAGTGAGTGTGTGTGTGTGTGTGAGTGTTTGTGAGTGTGTGTAAGTGTGTGTGTGTGTTTGTGAGTGTTTGTGAGTGTGTGTGTGTGTTTGTGAGTGAGTGTGTGTGAGTGTTTGTGAGTGTGTGTGTGTGTGAGTGTTTGTGAGTGAGTGTGTGTGTGTGTGTGTGTGTGTGTGTGAGTGTTTGTGAGTGTGTGTGTGTGAGTGTGTGTGTGTGTGAGTGTGAGTGTGTGTGTGTGTGTGTGTGTGTGTGTGTGTGAGTGTTTGTGAGTGTGTGTGTGTAAGTGTGTGTGTGTGTGTGTGTGAGAGTGTTTGTGAGTGAGTGTGTGTGTGTGTGTGTGTGTGTGTGTTCATGCCGTGCTGATGTTCTGCTGGTTCTGTTTGACCCGCTCCAGCTCTGGTGTCACTCCCACACTGACCGGATCAACCGCTTTCTTATATTTGGCCTGCAGGAGGAGGAGGATGATGATGATGAAGATGTGAATCAGACTCAGATGACTGACAGGTGTCAATCACACAGACAGACTCACGTCGCTGATGTTGCGCTGGTTCCTGCGCACGCGCTCCATCTCAGGAGTGTCAGTCACGGCTGTTCCGGATCCGACAGACTCCCTGTACTGAACCTGCGGAAGATCACGCACACCAGCTCACGCGTGTGCGTGTTTCCAGTCAAAATACCTAAACATCCCAAAATATGCTGCCATTTTTTGGACAAAACAGCATACATTTGGTTTGTTTAAAACAATGAAAACATTTTCCCAATGAGAATGAATGAGAATAATTCTCCTCTAAAAAGTATCTGATACAATTTGGGCAAATGTACTTTGCTTTATGGATTTTTGGATACTTTTATTCTAAAACAAGACATGGAATGATTTTAGCAGTGTGATGTGACGGCAGTACAGATCTCTGAATGTCCTGTGTATTATAGGCAACTGTTAACATCACACTGATGGGAATATGCATATGCAAATGATATGTAGATGAGGTCATAGTAATTTGAGGTGTTATAAGCTCCATGTATGGTTATACTCGGGAGGAGACAGATGCACACATTATCCACCTTAACTGTAAATGTAATGTGTCTGGCTTCCGGTGTCATTCGCTTCCAACCATTGTTACACACAGTATTGCAAACTGGTGTGTCTTACCACATTATTTGTGGTATTTTGTGGTAATGTATTATCTTAATTATGAACACACTGGTTTGTAGTGTTATCAGTTTACTGCACTTTGTTATTCTTCTCGTTATTTCCCTGCAGCAGCTAATGAACCGGAAGTCTCGCACATTCACAGAAAACAGCTTACTTCTGCGTTGAAAAATAAGGTGGATACATGAGATCAAACTCACACCGCATGTTACTCACGTCACTGACGTTCTTGGTGTTTTCTCGAGCCAGATTGATCTCTGGAGTGTCAGTGATCGCTGACCTCAGACCCTTCATCAGCCGCGAGTCCCACGTGTAGAAGAGCTGCACACACACACACACACACACACACACACACACACACACGTGTCCAGTACACGGTCATGTGATGAACAGCATGATCAGTGTGTGTGTGTGTGTGTGTCTCACTGCGCTGATGTTGCGCTGGTTGTTCTTCACTCTCTGGATCTCTGGTGTGTCTGAAGCAGCAGAACACGAGCTCTTCAGACGCTCCATGTCACCGCGGTACTTCTTCTGCACACACACACACACACACACACACACACACACACACGTGAACACCAGCTCTAGTCCTCTAACAGGTACTGCGGACAGACGGACAGGTGTGTGTGTCATGTGACCTGACTGTAGACGTCTCTCAGGTAAGCGGCGTGCAGCAGCGCAGGTGTGTCTGTCACTGTACCGTATGATGATTCTCTGTGCTGAGACGCCTGTCTGTACGACACCTGAAACACACACACACACGGTCAGTCCATGTGTCTTTTATCACGTGAGTGTGTGTGTGTGTGTTTGATCCGTCACTCACATTGCTGCTGATCTCAGACGCTTTCTTCGCTCTCTGGATGTCCAGACTGTCTGCTGTGACGTCCGTTCCCTTCCCTCTGATCTCACGCTCCAGATCCTTACGATACTCCTTCTGCAGGAGCAGAAACACGCCACGATGAAGGTCAAGCGTGTGTGTGTGTGTGTGTGAGTGAGAGTGTGTGTTTGTGTGTGTGTGTGTGTTTGTGTGTGAGAGAGAGAGTATGGGTGTGTGTGTGTGTGTGTGTGAGAGTGTGTGTGTGTGAGAGAGTGTGTGTGTG